CCCTTACTTTGTTTTTTGTTTGTGTGTTTGTTTTCGAGACAGGGTTTCTCTGTAATTTTGGAGACTGACCTGGAACTCTCTTTGTAGACCAGGCTGGTCTCTAAGTCACAGAGATCCTCACAGAGATCCGACTGCCTCTGCCTCTCAAGTGCTGGGATTAAAGGCGTGCATCACCACCACCACCACCACCACCACCACCACCACCACCACCACCCAGCTCAGATAGCCCCTTACTGAGACACTCTTTAATTGTCTAGCTGACAATTAAAATTAACCGTCACAGGGGCATTGCCTCTTTAAGCAAGGTGATGTTTTAGGTGGAGATGGATTAGTGCAGCTATGTTAGGGAGGTGTGGCTCCGGCCTGGAGAGTAGCTAACTTAGAAGCTTATTGTTAACCACTCAGCTCCTTGCTTCTACCAACTGTTTCTTTTTATATTGTAGTTGCTTTAAAAGTACACTCTCATTTGAACTGCACTTAACACTTCACACAGCATCTTTCCATCTTGGTTTTCCGATTTTTTTTTTCAGCACAGTAATTTCTGAGATTGACAGTGGGGTTCCCTGATTGCAAACCCAGATATTTGAGATTCAAAGGAAGAGTCACATAGCTAGCATTAACTGTCAACTTGACAGGATCTGAAATCACCCAGGAGGCAAACCTCTGGGTGCACTTCTGAGGGACTATCTTGATTAGTTCACTTGGTGGCAAGATTTGCCCTATAAAAGGGCAGCGCCATGGCCTAGGCTTGGGTTCTTGGTGCAAAAAAAGAGAAAATGAGCAGGACACTGGCATTCATTGCTGTTTCCTGTTTTGGATGTCACGTGACCAGCCTCTTTCAGCCCCCTTTACCTTCCTGCCTTGGTTAGGATTATCATCGCTGTGATGAAACACTTTTGGGAAGGGAAGGGTTTATTCTGCTTCCACATCACTGTTGATCACTGAAGGGAGTCAGGACAGGAACTCAAACAGGGCAGGAACCTGGAGTCAAGGAGCTGATACAGAGGCCATGGAGGGGGCTGCTTACTGGCTTGTTCCTCTTTTGTTGCTCAGCCTGCTTTCTTAAGGAACCCAGGACCACCAGCCCAGGGCTAGCACCACTCACTGTGGGCTGGGCGCTCCCCCATCAATCTCTAATTAAGCTGGATCTTATGAAGGAAGTTTTTCAATTGGGGTTCCCTCCTTTCAAATAACTCCAGCTTGTGTCGGGTTAACATAAAACTAGCCAGGATACTTCCCCAGCATGACTGAGTGTATCCTTGACCTGTGAACCCAAATAAGCCTTTCTCCTTTACTTTGTTTTTCTCCCAGTATTTTATCACAGCGAGAGGAATGCAACCAAGACAGCTTGGAACTTAAAACATAGGTCTTTGAGTTCAAGGGTAGTATAATCAGCTAGGCAGGAGCGAGGATTTCTATTGTATCCTTCCCTTTGACTATCAGATTATTGAGACAGTGGACTCCGAGAAATTGGAATTCCCCCAGGAAGTCATGCTGCTGGGAGAGGGAAAAGCCGAGGGCATGGGGAGGGTCAGAGAAGGAATCTGTCAAGATAACCTTTGTAGGAGGGGGAGGCTGAGCAGGTGGTGCTAGGCAGGACCATACTCTAACCTGACCGCTCACTTAGACCATTTAAACCTTACTTCCCACTGGAGAAGTGACTTGATGGTTAGGAGTACTGGTTGCCCTTGTAGAGCCTGAGTTGATTGTCAGCACCGCAAGACAGCTCACCCATCATCTGTAACTCCAGTCCCAGGGGATCTCTTGACCTCTGTGAGTACCAGGCATGTATGTGGTGCAAGACAAACATTCAGGCAAAACACCCATATACATAAAAATTAATAAATAAGGTAAAACTTTGAAAAACTCTTACTTTCCTGTTAAGACCCAAAGAGTGACTTGGGGTAGAGCCACTGGGTATCTTTGCCTTCGCCTTCTCATTGTGGCTACATTGGATAAATGTCTGTTTTCTGTTTTTTACTGTTAGCTTTTTTAGTTGATGCATTGAGGACAGGTGGCTGAGCCTGGCTCTTTTTGGATGCAAGGCACAGCTCTGACCCTAACTCCAGAGCACTGGGCTTTTCTCTTCCTTCTTTCTTGGTTGACAGCCTTGCTTTGTTGCAGCTGTCACAGCTGTCAAGCTGATCTAGAGAGCTGGACTTTTGACTGTCAGGGGAAGGTCTTTCATCCTATCTAGATTTCTTAACTCAGTGTTTGACAAGTAGTAGATGCTCAGTACATGCTAATGGTTTTATTTTGGTCAAAATTTCACAGTCCATCAGCCAAAGGCTTGATTTGGCAATTGTGTGAAAGGTGGACTCCTGAGCCTAAGTCCCTTTTCAGCAGACTGATTTCAGTAAGGGCTCAAAAACAAAACTGTGGAGTTCCTGCAGTGAAGGAAGTGCTGGACTCTGGAATGAAGCAGTTTATGAGGAGGCAACTGGGTCTGCTGTACAAATGGCATCCCAGTGGGAGTCCAGCTGCCCAGCTGTTCACCTAATTAAATTTGCCTCAGAGTGTAACTGATAGTTCTCTTTCTTGACTCCAAAACCAATTTGACTTCAGGTTGGCTGTATGTGAGACTCTTGGAACTGCAGGGCCCATCTTTGGATGACCTTAAAAAGCCTTGGACATTAGGATGTAGCTCATTGGTAGAGGGCTTGCTTACCCTCCATGAAGTCCTGAGGTCAATCCCCAGCAGTGCATAAGCCAGGTGTGGTGGGATTCACCTGCAGTCTAAGAACTCAGGAGGGTGGGCAAGAAGATTAGACGTTCCCAGTGCTAAGGAGGCAGAGGCAGGTGAGTCTCTGAGTTCAAGGGCAGCCTGGTCTACATAGTGAGTTTGAGGCAGTGAGGGCTACATGGTCAGACCTTGTCTCAAAACAAAACAAAACAAACAAAAACAAAACGAACAGTAAAACCAAACACACACACACAAATGAAGAACCCAGAACAAAAGACAACAAAAATGAGTTGAAGGCGATCCTCAGATGTGTGTTGAGTCCCAGGGCAGCCTGTGGTACATGACCTAGTTAATTCCTAAAAGGATGAAATAATCCTTCCTGGAAAGCCACGGGACTTCTAACTTTAGATTTTCATTTTGTAGTCAGGATACAGAACGCACAGAGTAGAGTTGTGTCTTACTCCTCTGTTCCCTTGGTCACGGACACTTGGTGTATTGCAAGGCTCTCATGCACCAGCCCTGCACTGGGTTCTGCCATACCTGTGAGAGAGTGGTTTCCCCTCCCTTTCTAATTTTGGAAACAGACCCCTAAGTGAAGTTGTCCAAAATCACCAGGGATGTGCTGCAGCTTGACCCAGCTCCATCTTTGCTGAAGTTCGTTCTACAGTATGCCAAGTGGCTAATACCATTTATATCTTCATGTAAAAGTGTTCATGTTAAAGGAGTGTTTTCTTCAACTGGAAGCCAATGGTGGCACCTCCAGCCTCCATGAAGATGAGCCCAGAGCACCTGCCTGTTTATGGTCAAGTTTCAGGGCCAGACTTGGGAACCAGATCATCTAGATACTCCCTCCCGCCCAGTCTCCTCACCCCCACCCCCAAACAACTTAAGTTTGGTCGAGTGTGTCAGTATTCAGTGGCCAACTCAGCATCTATTTATTTTTGTGTTTAGGGAGCTAAGAAGATCCATCTGGGTGAAGATTTAAAGGGCATTCTTTTAGAAGCGACAGGAAAGTGTGTGCCTTACGCTGTCATTGAAGGTACGTTTACTTTTTAGAGTGAGTGGCAACACCTACCTCCTTCTAGTAGGTAAAGCCATCATGGCTGATACACACCCCTCCCTTTTTTACATTTAAATTATGTATTTTATCTTGTTTGTATGGGAGGGGAGAGCAAGGGTGCCACTCTGCACTTGTGTAGGTCAGAGGACAACCTGGGGGAGTTGGCTTCAGGGTTCAGGTTGTCAGGCTTAGTGGCGTTTCACCTGCTGAGCCCACTGGCTGGCTCTTGTGAGAGCCTTTTAATGGTGGGGGCTGTTGTCATGGGCAAGGTGACCAGACTGCTGCGGGTCTCTGATTACTTTAGGGGACTTGATATGGTGGAAGACAGTTGAGACCTGAGTGACGTGCCTCACGGGAGATGCTTATGTAGGTGCTGTGCAGAGTGCTCCTGCATGCCTCACGGCGACACAGATGCCACTGTGGTGATTAGTTAGCGGACTCAGCTCAAAGCAAGAGCAGCGCCATCCTTAGGAGAGCTTTCTTTCTTCACAGGAGCTGTGCAGTCCGTTAAGGAAACACTCAACAGTCAGTTTGTGGAAAACTGTAAGGGGGTGATCCAGCGGTCGACGCTTCAGGAGCACAAGATGGTGTGGAACCGAACAACCCACCTTTGGTGCGTGTCCTCGTGAGTTCCTCTGGTTGGACCCTCACTCTGTTTGGAGGCTGGGCCTCGGCTTGCTGTGTCTTTAGCTTTTGGGGGACAGGTTGCAGAGCAGCCTCTGCACCCCCAGTACAGCTGTGTGTACTGTGCATTTCCCAGTGACAGTGCAGGCTCCTGGGCCCACTTTCTGATTACAGAACCTGGTTTTCAGATGGGACCTGGCATCTGTTGGTTCTTAGCACACTGACGTTGTAGAAACACTCATTTATAGAGTAGTCACACATGGATTTGTTTAAATAATTTTGTGCCATCACATGGAGTGAACCATTTTCCCATCTGCTGCTAGCAGATTTTTGTCTCAGGTATTTATATGACAGTGACATAGGTAATAAGCATGGAAGGTGACCTCTTTTGCTGACTGTTGTCCACTGAAACCTGAGGTTCTAGAGCCTCAGTGAGTCAATGCTCTAGAACAATGGTTCTCAACCTGTGTGTTATGACCCACTTAGGGGGTGTCAAATGATCCTTTGGGGGTCACCTGAGACCATTGGAAAACAGACATTTACATTAAATTCATAACACTATCAGTTACAGTTAGGGAGTAGCAACGAGAATAATTTTACGGTTGGGGGGGTCACCACACCATGAGGAACTGTATTAGAATATCCGCAGCCTTAGGAAGGTTGAGAACCGCTGCTCTAGAGTGCACTGATTTGGAGAGCAGCTTCCAGTTACGATGGTGGAATCTGTCGCGTGGCTTCTGTGTGGTATTTGCATGCAGGTGGCCCGGTGTGTAGGGGTTGGGCGCCTGCTCCCCTTTTGTTCATCTTGCGGTCCTTGCATTCTTTTAGGAATGACTATTCTAAGATCATTCACCAGAGGACTAACACTGTGCCCTTTGACCTTGTGCCCCACGAGGATGGTGTAGCTGTGGCTGTGCGGGTGCTGAAGCCCCTGGACTCGGTGGATCTGGGCCTAGAGACCGTGTATGAGAAGTTCCACCCCTCTGTGCAGTCGTTCGCCGATGTCATCGGCCACTACATCAGTGGTGAGCGGCCCAGAGGCATCCTGGAGACAGAGGAGATGCTGAAGGTGGGGGCCACCATCACCGGGGTTGGCGAGCTGGTCCTGGACAACAACTCTGTCCGCCTGCAGCCTCCCAAGCAAGGCCTGCAATACTATTTGAGCAGCCAGGACTTCGACAGCCTGCTGCACAGGCAGGAGTCCAGTGTCCGGCTCTGGAAGATTCTGGTCCTGGTGTTTGGCTTTGCCACCTGTACCACCCTCTTCTTCATCCTGCGGAGGCAGTACCTCCAGTGGCAGGAGCGTCTTCGGCAGCAGCAGCTCCAGGAGGAGTTCCGTGAACACGAGGCCCACCTACTGAGCCAAGCCTTGCCTGAGGACAGGGAGAGTCTGAAGAGCTCCTGTGTGGTGTGCCTTAGCAGCTTCAAGTCATGCGTCTTCCTGGAGTGTGGGCATGTCTGTTCCTGCCGCCAGTGTTACCTCGCCTTGCCAGAGCCCAAGAGGTGTCCAGTTTGTCGTCGGGAGATCACCAGGATGATTCCCCTGTATAGCAGCTAGGGGTCTTGTAGTCACACTGCAGGTATCCCTCCCCTTGTCAGGGCTTATCCTGAGGCCATTGGTGGGGTGGCTGTACCTTAAGGTATGATGGAGGGGATACTGGCAAGCCTCACATCTAATGGCTGGGTGTTGCTTTTCAACCTGGACAGGTTCCTTTCCAGTTCTAAGCACCTGGTGGGGGCTGTGGTGAGGTCCCTCTTCTCAGAAGCCAGATCTGTGTGTGTGAGAGACTGAATAAGACCAGCTCATTGTCTAAGCAGCAAAGCCAGTGGTCTCCACTTTTGCTTCCTGGGGTGCTGACTCCTTAGCTTGGGGGAAAGGCCGAGCTCTGAGGGCCTTGCAGTGTGGTCTCTTGGGATACTGCCCAGACTCCTTTTCTTGCTTCTGTCCATGGGAAGGAATTTCTTAAAACTTGTCAGGCAGGGTAGTCAGCTTGTGTGTCTCTTTTACTTGCTTTCTGGGTAATGCTTGCACTTATGTGAAGATGACAGGAAGTGAGATCAGTCCATGTATGTGGGACACAGGTCAGCAGGAGGACAAACAGACATGTCTAGGTGTTACTAGGGGGTTGGCAGGCAGCCTGGTTGCCTTCCTTTGGCACAGGGAGGGCACCAGGGTTGTGGGGTGTGGGTGCTGCCTGGCTTTCCCAGACAGCTCTGGTTTCCTCTGAAAAAGCCTCACTGAAAGGGAGTGACAGTCACTGCTGTCTTTGCCTCTGGCCTTTGTAGTTTCTTTGCTTGCTTTTGCCAAAGAAGTTGGCTGGTGGGCAGAGAGCCTGTCTAGATGATCTCCCTGTCCTTGTCAGCAGCCCCAGAAGCTCGTTGCTGCCGTCCCCCCAACCAGACAAATTGGGGACTGCCCTTCATCAGTCAGAAGTGGTCAGGAGTCACTTGCAGAGCTCCTCTTCCTGACCATCACCTGTGCTCCTTCCTGAGGGGGGAGAAGGGCTTTTTCTAGGCGCCGACACCAGTACATGCGCCAGCCGCCTGAGTGAGCAGCACAAATTAAATAAACTATGTGACATGTGTCTGAGGCTTTGTTCACTAGAGTTAAGTGGCCAAGAGGGGGCTTCCCTGGGTTGGAGTTAAGTTCCACCTTGACAGGATGAAGACAGAGCTGGGAGACCTCTGTTTTCCTCTTTGGTTGTGAGGTGGCTCCCCAGGATGGGATGTGGTTCGTGATTGTTGAGGACCCTGTGCTTGCCATGCTCACAGGGGGACTCTAATGAGCCCTCAATACTACCCCAGACAGCTGGCCTAGGGTGCCACCTGACCTTGCTGACATTGTTGTCTTTGACACAATGTATCTTTTCTCGGAGCAGCTGAAGTAGAGTGGGGCTCTGGTGGACAGCGCAGGGGGATATTAGTATTCAGTTCTGTGTATACAGTATAGTACCAGCTGCTACTATAATCTGGGCCTGATGACAAGCCAGTCTTGGTGAGTTCAAGGCCAGCCCAGTCTACGTAGTGAAACACCATGTCAAAACAGCTGGGGCTGGAGAGATGACTTCATGTGTTCTTGCAGAGGACCTGTGTTCAGTTCCCTGAACCTACGGGGTGCGGTCTGCCATCTAGCTCCAGCTCCAGGAGACCCATTGCCCTCTTCTGACCTGTGTGGGCACCAGACATGCATATGGTGTGTAGACATTCTTGCAGGCAAAACACCCATACACACAAAACTAAAAAACTTGGAAAAGTTAAAAACAACACAAACAAACTGGACTCATAAAGGGAGTGACCCTTCCCACAGGCTGTGCCAATGAGTGTATGAGCCAGGAAAGGGGAAGTCATGAGCGCTGAAAGCTCACTAGCACTTTGTGGCCACCACCCAAACTCCAAGCAAACAATAAAGGAACAAAACACTGTCCTGCCCAGGAAGTAGTTCCTGTGGAGCCCACAGACTGCCTGTGTCAGCAAGAACACCGTCGGGAGAAGACTTGCCTATGCTGGAGGGACCGACAGACCATGAGTGCTGGCCAGTAGGGCCCTGTCCAGTGAGGTGTGAAGACCATTGGCAGGATGGGAAGGGACCCATGTTACCTCCCCTCGCTTTCATGTAAGGGCCCTGTGGGACTTAGAGCCCCGCCTTTGCCACAGTCAAGAACAAATCTGATCAGAGATTAGGCAGCAGGGAGCGTGGCTTGTCTGGAGACTTGGGAGCAGAAGTCTAGCTGTAGGAAGTAGGTGTGTCCCCAGATGCTAGGTTCTGGGTCTCAGGTCCCTGTTTAATCCTGGCCTATCTGACCCTGCAGCTGAATTTGCTATTGCACCTGTCATCTGGCAGCACCTTCCACGCTACAAGCCTCTCCTCCAGGAGATGTGTATGTGGTACCAAGGTTGGGTTGAGGGGTGCTAAGGGAGATCAAGCTAGGAAGGGAAGCTGTCAGCGAGGCTGGTGTGTCCTGACTGCCTGTCATTCCTCTCATTGCCCCTTTAATCCCTGGCAGACAGGGTTAGGTGGGAGTCATCTTGGATAACTGCTGCTGGCTTGGAATACCCATGCTAATGTAATACCCATCTATTTCATGCTAATACCTTAAGTCCCCCACAGTTGGCATTGGTACCCCAGTACTCGAACCAGTGTGGTGGTTAAGGCTATCTTGGCCTCACTGTGAAGACTACAACCTTTGCTGGGAGCCCTTGAGGCCTGGGAACCCACAAAACAGTCCTGTCCTTCTGTGTTCAGTGTCCTGGGTTCCAGGTCCCTCCTGGACACCTTTATCCACAGATGCTTCATCCCCTATGTAAAGTGACCTAGAGTGCCATTTCATGTGCACCCTCCTCAGCACATGGAGTCGTTTCTAGATCATCCTAATACAAGGAAGTCCCAGGTGACTGGGTGAGGTTAGGCTGTGCTGCTCGGGGAGTAAGAAAACAAATGTGTATATGCTCAGCTCAGTTTCTTTCATAAATACTTTTGATTGTGGTTGGTTAAATCTACAAGTGCAGAGCCCACAGCGTCAGAGAGCTGTTACCATAAACAGCCAGTCAGTGCAACCATTTACCAGTCAAGCCCCTCCCCAGCAGCCCCTGGTGGTGGATGGACTGGGAGGTGGTCTTCAGAATCCCAATACATCCAAACTTCTAGTAGCACATTTCAAAAGCAAATAAAAACTGGAAAAAGGCCAATCTTATACACCCTTCACAAGCCTGATCTCAAGTCATAGGAAGGCAGCTGGTTCGGTAGGCAAAGGCAGGCAGTCACTGTGAGGCCAGCCTGGTTTACAGAGCTAGATACAGGACAGCTGGGGCTAGAGAGAAAGAAACCCTGTCTCTGGTGCTGGGGAGTCCTATAGGGCAGAAGGGTATTTGTTCATCCATCAAACACTATATTTTGTGTCTACAGAAGTAAACTGAGTAACACACAGTTCTGTCCTAAAAGGGCCTGGAATGTGTTTCAGTGCATCCTATTGTCAAGGAGTAAGTCCCACCTGGCAGGGACAGGAGACAGTACCTTGGTTCACTGGGTACCACAGAAGGACATTTTCTTAGTCTGTTTTCTGTTCCTGTGGCAGAAACTTTGAGGTGGGGTAATTTACAAGGAGCAGAGGTGGGTTTCTAGCAATTCTGAAGGCTGGGGCTGGGGAAGCCAGCTTTGTCCTGTGTCCCATGTCATAACAGCAGAGGGCAGCACATGGTGAGGGAGGGAAGGAAAAGAGAGGGAGAGCGAATCACTTAAATAACTAGGTGAGGGAGGGAAGGAAAAGAGAGGGAGAGCGAATCACTTAAATAACTAGTTCCCTACACACACACACACACACACACACACACACACACACACACCACACACAATGGCCTTACTAAATTTATGGTCTTCTCACTTTTTGATGGTCCCACCTCTTCATCCTGTGACAGTGGCACGACAATGGTAATGCAGGTTTGGAAGAGGACATTTAAACTATAGTGGGGGGCTGGAGAGATGGCTCAGAGGTTAAGAGTACTGACTGTTCTTCCAGAGGACCCAGGTTCGATTTCTAGCACCCATTTGATGGCCCTCAACCATCTCTAACCGAGTCCCAGGGGAGAAGATGTCCTCTCCTGGCCCCTGAGGGCATCAGGCATGCAGGCGATACGTATCAAAAACATTCCCACACATCAAAAATGATCAGACACTACAGTAGTCTGAGGGTTACAGTCCTCCACTACAGTAGTCCGAGATTCATCCCCCCACATTTCAGTAGTCTGAGGTTCATGCACACACACACACACACACACACACACACACAAACACACACAAACACACACACACACTGGTAGTCTGAGGTTCACACCCCCCCCCTTTAGTAGTCTGAGGTTACACCACCCCTCATACACATACACACTATGGTAGTCTGAGGTTTTCCTGACTGGAGCAGATTTGAGGATCATTAGAAGCAAACCATCCAAGGGCAACATGTCGTTGTGGAAAGATGAACCTAGAATGATCCATTAAGTAACTTACTCCTCCGTTTAGGCCCTTTTCAAGTTCCTTGCCATCTACAGATTCGAGGCCCACTTCTTCCAAGGCCTGTGAAGCTACCTCTCCAAAGTTTGTCTCCCTGAGTCAAATATCTGAGCCAGTTCCCTTAGCCACACCATGGTGTCCTCTGCCCTGGCTAGAGTCCTTGTCCTTCCTCACTTCCACTCTGCCTATTTGCCCTGAGACTGCTTTGAGTGTCTCCTGTCCCCTCCTTCTGTCTCCTGCTCTGGGCTGGGTTGAGTGTCCCGACTCTGGTTTTGGAACCTGGCCTGGAACTAGCTCTTGTAGACCAGGCTGGTCTCAAACTCACAGAGATCCGCCTGCCTCTGCCTCCCGAGTGCTGGGATTAAAGGCGTGCACCACCACCGCCCAGCTGAGTGGCCCTCTTCTAAGATCCCAAGATACACTCTAATCTATTACTGCTCCAGCCTTATTGCCCAGGCCCAGGGTAGGAACTGCACTGTTTAGTTCCCTTCAGCAGTGCGGTTTCAGGTCGTCAGCACGCGTTCTCCCTCCCTCACCTGGAGGGGATTGTGCTGTCCCTTTTGTCCCCCCCTTTTTTTAAAAAAGATTTTATTTATTTATTATGTATACAGTCTATACAATCTTCTTCCTGCATGCCAGCAGGTCATGTGGTTGCTGGGAATTGAACTCAGGACCTCTGGAAGAACAGTCAGTGCTCTTAACCACTGAGCCATCTCTCCAGCCCCCCCACCCTTGTTTTCTGACACAGGGTTATGTAGCACAGGTGTGTCTTGAACTCTTGGTCTTCTTGCCTGAGCCATGTTATGGGAATACAGCATATATGTCTGCAGGATATGATGATAGTCTTACTTTAAATAAAAGGGAACCACGGCCCACGGGGTGGCGTGTCTCACCACATACACAGGAAGAATAGGATTGAACGAGGCTCCGCACTCCAGTGCTTAAGCGCTTAGCTGTAGATGTTATTGGTTACTTTTCTCATTGCTCTAACCAAATGCCGAACAGAAAATGACTTGAAGGAAGGGTCATTTTGGTTCACAGTTTATGGGGAAACAATCCATCCTGGTGGGGCAGGCAAGGCGGCTGGCTCACAAAATAGGAAGCAGAGGAAAGTCAATGCTGGTGCTTAGCCCCCTTCTCTGTAGGATGGTGCCTCCCAATCCAAGGTGGGTCTTCCCTCCTTAGTTTAGAACTTCCTGGAAATGTCCTCGCAGATACACTCGGGATGTGTCTCCTGATTCTGTATCCAGAGAAACTGACAATGAGGATTAATTACCACAAGTCCACTCCTTGTCCACTTGACACTGACCTTATCACTTTATATGAACATCCTACCCCTCATGGCCATATCAATACAAAACGTGTTATGTTCGTCTCTAAAAGTTCAAAGTCTTAACAGAAACAACACTGTCCAAAAGTTCAAGCTGAGTGTCTCTTGTAAGACTCATGACAAACTCTTATACTGTGGGCCCCTATAAAATAACTGAGTTCCAGCCTTCTGATCTACAACAACAGAGAATAAACATGGCAAAGAATGGATGCACAAGCCGGGCAGTGGTGGTGGTGCACGCCTTTATTCCCAGC